GAATGACCTTGGGAAACAGGGCAAAGAGATGCAAGGGAATGGTCAGATAAAAGGCAGCTGAACCCGTAGCAGGAATGTGGGTGGGGCAAGAGGCTCAGAAGAGACCCTCCCTAGTTTCTTGGGCTGTGAAGGAGATGAGGCGGGAGGAGGTGTACTTTCAGATTTGCAAGATTCTGCTAATTAGCATTACAATAAAGTAGATTTAGCTCATCTGGTCGTGATTCTTGTCTGGTCTACCTCATAAGGCTGGCAGGCAGTTCCAACCATTACAGATTTGTTGGCAACTGTGTGGAACTGGACTAGCAATTAATTTCACTTCTTCTTTGTGTTGCTTCAGGATTGGCAGTATTTTGCATGGAGCACTGACCGAATAACATTTTAACACACTCCTGTGAGATGGAAGGAGAGAACCAACTGGCTCACTGTATCCTCATTGTGTTCTCCAAATTTCAAAGTTGACAGGAGTAAAAAGAATCAGCCAGGCCACTTCAGTAGTCAGAAGAGTATATTAGGGCTGTGCAAAATTTGAAAAGGGGCTCACAGACTACATTCATTCAAGTGGAGCAACCCTCCCCAAAGCTTTGAGACAGCTGGCTGCTCCAAAAGGCTCATCACAGCTGCTTTGAGAACTTTCCCACAGTGCCTTGGCATGCTTGTGAGGGGTGTACAAGCACAAAGAAACAAGAGATGGCTGCCTTGGTGTCCACAGGCAAAGGTTCCCCCTTGCCCCAGGCTGAGAACAAATCTAGTTCTGCAGATAGGGCCGCAAATGAACCTATAACGTAGGAGTAACATGGGAGAAGGGAAGAAAGAGAGGTCCCAGCCCTACTCCTTCCCCTTCCTTTCTCTACCTGCCCTCAATTGCCTCAGGGGGCTTGGTGCTCGAACTCTCTCCCCACTGGGGCCCCCATTACCTTGGAGTCCAGAAAGCTTTATTAATACCCCTGAGATATGTGCATGTGCAACCACTTCTCTTAGACTCAGCTTCTGCAGAGGAATGCCTTAATGATTGTTTCACAATGCCTCTTTGGAGCTGCGGGACATGGAGACTTTCCACTGGTGGGAACTGTTTTCCCCACCTCCCATCTTTGAGAATTCCCCATCTACAGAAACCAAGATGCCATATTGCCTTCACTTCTCCCTTTCCCATCCTATCTCACTAAATGGAGGATCTGTTTTGCCACTCCCACAATGGCCCTCTTTTTTTTTTTTTAATCTTTCCTTGCTGCAAAAAGCTAGCACAGCAGTTGCTGTGGAGACAGATGCTGGTGGAGACAGATGCTGGGCACTGCATAATAGCACAAAAATAACTATGACTATAAGAGGGATGAAGTTGGCAGTCATGTGGACGTGGCATCAGATATATAGCAGCCCGTGTAAAAGTGCTTTAAGCAAATTCATAGCTTGCTTTCCCAGCCCACAAAAGAACCTAACATGTACAGTTGCCATAGGTTAAAGATTTTTTATTCCCTCTTTAAAACTATCCTACATACTGTATTGAAACATGTCAGAAGAGTAGGCCTACTGGGTATTGACCTGCAAATACCCAGATCAGCACAAGCAAACAGGATATGCAGCTCAGAGTTTCAAATGACTATTACGTACTTTAAATGTTGCACTGTTCAAAAACAATTTGTTGATAACAATTTGCTTAGAGAAAGAGGCATACACTTGGTTTAAAGAAACACATATTTTTATAAAGCAGAGTTCATAGTACAAGAAAGTACAGTATACAGCATTGGTTGCCTTTTATATTTAAAGTTTTAAAATGCATTTCTGAACTACAGTGTCTCTCCTAGCTCTTTTTTTACACCTTTAGTCCTACAAAAGGATAAAGATAACTAAAGCTAAAGCCCTTCTGTTGTGCATTGTGCAATACATTTGAAATTTTAATTGTGATGTAGTTGTTTCTAAAGTGGCTTAAGAAGTTTTATGGAACATGGAAGAGAATTATTTCTCATTATGGGCTTCATCATTTTTCCATTATGCTTTGTCATATAAATTGTCTCTATGTGTGATCCTATTAATTTATTTGCCTGAACAAGGATATGTTTTTAAACTAGACAGTTAAAAAGATACAAAAGAATAATTTCATCTTACCTAGCCCTTATCTGTCTATCATTTGCACATGATACTTTTTATTATTTTATTTCATTTTCAGGCTCCAGTTTTCTTGGAAACTAAAGAATTTAGTTATTACATCAAATCTTACACAATTAGGAAATTAACTCAACCCTCCTGTTGTTAGCAAAGTAAAACAAAGAAAGTAGCTGAAGCCGCGCTAATATCATATACATATGTATGCTGCTTAATCTTAATTCTTGCCTGGTGTTCCATTCCAACTTACAAATTCCCACTTTTACTGCATTTTTTCTTAGATTAGTCAACATCATGTCTTCCCACAATGAGATTTGGATTCACATGTCCCTCTGAAAGGTGCATCATAACACTGCATGTTTTTCTGCACTGCAGAATTATCATATTTGTACGTGTATTGCAAACACTTCTGGACATGATGTAGGCTGAAATACGGAAATCCAATATAGAACTAAGTTTTTACATAGATCTTTAGAGTATGAAGATTATACATAAGAATATACGTATATACATTTGCACACGCTGAGCCAGCCATCTGTGCCTCTATCCCTTCCCAAAGTTTCTTATAGGGGACTGACCACGGCATTTGGAGTGTTCAGGTCAATGGCCCTGTTTGGCTTCCCTACTGGAAAACTCCTACAGTGTTTTTTCCCCCAGATTTAGCAGTTTGTTTTCCAAAAGACAGTCTAGCTCTGAGTTGGCCCGATCTCTTGAAATGCAAACAATGCTCCCAGAGGGAAGCTTATTTGTTTTTTCAATCACTCCTAGCGGAACCTTCATTACTGGGTGGAGTAAGTTGAAAGAGGAGCATTATTAGGAGATGAAAGACATTCAGATATTACTGGGAAACAAATATCAGAGCTCCATGTATCTCCCAAGACCTTGCTTTGAACCAATGCTTATACAGACCTTCAGGGAAAATAACATCCTTTGCAGTCACTTCCAGTTCAAGCCCTTACTAATCCACCAGCGTTTTGTGCTTTCCTAATAACTAGCTTCCTCCTTTAAACATATACCTGAAAATAATTAGCTGCTTGTTTTTGGAAAGGTGTGATGTTTTTACAACAGCCTCCCCAAATCTAGTGTCCTTCATATACATCGGACTTCAACTTCCATCATTCCTGATTGGGACTGATTAAGTCCAACACATCTGGAGGGCAGCAGGGATTTAGGGAAAGGAAAAGAAAGCATTCATTTTCTGATTTGCAGATTGTAAAATATAACATGAAAGACTGAAGCAGCCCAAGAGATCCCTGTCACACCTGATTTTAATTTATTTTTAGATCATAAGGGAAAAAGGGGGGAGAGGCCGCCGAGATGCTGAGCACCAGCTTCCACCATCATTTTTATTACAGGAATGCCGCTGAGTCCACATAAATCCCATATGCATTCTTGGGAAATAAAAGTTATAGGCAGAAGTATGTATCAGTCTGGGGAAAAAAGATAAAGAAAATCTGGGATAAGAGAAAGTAAGGTGTGAAGCTGAAGTGAGTAGCGAGAGAATTTCAAGAGTTTATGAAAAGGTGCTGCGTGGACTTATCATGACTACAATGGCGGCCATTTGGTAAACAGGCAAACCCACACCAGGCCATCCCAGTGGTGATTTTAGGAAAGCAAGCAAAATATCTGCCTACATGAAGGAGCCACGATGACCTGCTGAGGAGTTCCTTTAATGAGAGGTGATTAGACAGCTGACGTTTTATGCACTTTTTCTTTCCCCGCATACTGACAGCTAATAGAAACATACAAAAGCTTTGTATATGTGGTCATGGTATGGGGTGCAGGTACAAACATATGGAATCTATGATTTATGGTGATTTTTCAATATGGCAGCCACGAGCAATCATAACTCATAAAACTCATCGTTTTTTCCATTCCAAACCCAACTACGTAGGCAAAAGAACCTGTGTAAGCAGATTACTCCAGACGTTTTCTGAAGCCGCTGGCTGTCAACTGCTAGCAAGCAATGCATGAAACAATATACTGTAGTGTTACCTGGAGACTGTGGAACCTGCACTCACCTGGAGATCTGGGAGATTTTCCTATACCCTTTATAGAACAAGGAAATAGGAGAGCGGCCGTAAAAAACAGCAACAAAGACAGTAGGTTTAGTGTTCATATAATCCGTGTCCATTGTAGTCTTTATGTTTATGCGTGTTGCAAAGCTGATTTCTCTCCTTTGAGAAGCTGAAAAGTGACTAGATCCAGCACTGGTGATCTCTGGCTCAAATTAAAAGTGGCTCAAGCCCTTCACTGAATTGTCAGCAAAACTGTCTTTTCCTGATAGAGAACTTGATGTCTATTAGAAGAAGTGAGCTATTTCAGCAACAATGGTGAACAGAGGACTCAGCAAGCTGGAACATGGTATCTAGCCCTGAAAGTTAGCTGCCCAGAATGTCTCCTTTCGGTGGGACTCAAATGAGTCACTTCAACCTTTCTTTGCCCTACATCAGTGTTGTCCAAACTTGGCCACTTTAAGATGACTGGACTTCAACTCCCAGAATTCCCCACCCCGGCATGCTGGGTGGGGCGTTCTGGGAGTTGGTCCACTCATCTTAAAGTGGCCAAGTTTGGACAACACTGATGTAGGGCAAAGAAAGGTTGAAGTGACTCATTTGAGTCC